CACAACGCCTGGCTGTTTTTGGTTGTAGCCATCATTGTTGTTTGACGGGCCCAGGCTGGATTCGAACCTGCCACCTTAGGTGTATGTGTCTGGCGCCTTAGCCACTTGAGCCACAGGCGCCGAGCCAAACATGAAAGTTTTAAGTTAAAGTTTTTTTTCTGCCAAAGTATTGATAAGTTACTCTGTTCTTAGCAAGGAAGATTTCTGTTAGATAGTACCTTAGTCAAGATTATTTTATTCTTGAAAATGGCCTGTTAAAAATAAAAATAATTCTACATTGATTCACTACTGGGCACTTTGAGTAATTCAGACTGTTTCCTTTCTATTCCTTTCAGACTATTACTGAGAATTCCTCATAACTAGAAGATAAAGTTATTATAAGCTTTTCTTCAAAGAGATCAGTGTGGTTTACAAAGATTGGCTGCTTTATGATATTTTATGTTTTTAAAGCATTTCCATTAAAGACAATATGAACTAAAGGAATTAGAATGTTTGGTGGATTTTTTTATATTGAATCTTTATTCCTCTCTGTAGATTGTTAATGTTTGCTTTTAAGAACTTATCAATTCTTTAAGTATTGCTTTCAATAAACGTATTAAGTTTTGACTGCATTTGGTAGAGAAAGCTATGAAAATACATAGAGAATAGTTCAGCCTATCACCTAAAAGAACATTGGAAAAATAAGTTCATCTGTAGACTAGTCTTGAATAAATACTTTTTTAAGTAGGTCATGATTTTGCACTTAGGTAATATTCTTAATTATATGACACAACAATGTCTTTATCTCTAGAAAAAAGCAGAAGAAGCTCATAAAATTTTTGAAGGTCTTGGCCCAAAAGTTGAGCTGGTAAGTAAGGAATTGCTTTTTTCATTTCCAGTGCTTTTTGATAGTAGCTTTTCTTGGGGTAAATCAGAACATGATCCATTTATTTTGGGATTAGAGGGATGCTGCTGGATGGAAGGTTTGATCAAGTTTAACATATCAGTGAATGAACTTAGTTACCTTTGCAAAAGCATCATTCTGAGCATGTTTTTTGCCTGAGCAGCCATTTAATCAATCCAGATAGAAGGAGGAAGAATTAAGAACAGAGATAGAGAGCACTTTGAATCGTTCATTAGGATGGTGATAGTGCTTAATCTTCTTTCGCCTCTGGAATTAAAAATCTGTGAATAAATTTGCTTATTATGGGAAACAGTGGATTTACAAACTTTCTTAGAGGAGATGGGATAAACCAAGTTACTTAGAGAACTCAAAGTCTAGAATACTTTGTAGGGCATGCTGTTGTGTATACTCATTTGTACTTTACCTGTGCTTACATTGAAATGCTGTTTATCTCTTCATAAATATATACACATTTTATACATACTTTATTTATTTTATAGCCACTCTATAACCAGCCATCAGATACTAAGGTGTACCATGAGAACATCAAGACGTAAGTATTTGTCATCTTTGGAATTCATCAGTTAAAAACCATATATTCAATAGAGATCATTTATATGTTATCTTCTGGCATTATTATAATATAGTATAGGTGTGTTTTAGATTTGTGTAATTTGCTGTTGTTTTACTATATGTTATCTTCCTCTGGCTTCTTGGGGGTTGGGGTAACAGCTTTTGAGTTTCCGAGGCCAAAAAATGAAATAAATTATTGCATAAAACTAGCTGGTTTTATAATCTGCTAGTAAAAAAGGTGGATACTTAACATTGAAATGGCTTACCTTGAGGCTTGAATTTTTTGCCTCCTGTTTTGTCTTTTTTTCAGTGGAGTACCTGCAAGGCGCATGATGAAGTAAGATAATGAAGCTTTTTCATTTAAGACTAGTGATGACACCGTCCCCCACCAAGCCACATCTGCCATTGCAAAGTAGAAGTGCCACGGATCATTTTATCATTATTCAAAATCCTATTCTAGGGAAATCCCTTCCATGACTCTTGCTAATGACGGTATTTGTAGACCCTTCTGCCATTTAATGTCCTGGTGCCTTGGAAGCGCTAAGTCACCTCATGTGGGTGAGGAGGCCGCTCCAGAATGTAGTTTGCTTAGCCTTGCTCATCCTAATACCAGGCCTTTATGGATGCAGATTTTGGAATAAGAAAATAAGTGGAAAGAAAACCTAATTTCTTGATCTGATTGACGTAAGACAGGAACCTAGATAGGTTTTTTTTTTTTTTTAATTATTATGCTTTAAGAGATTTTTAGGTGAATTATTCTTAGTTTATGACAAAAAATGTATTATTTCTACTTTATATGTTTCATTAAGTTTAACCAGAGCATTATAATTATTTACTAGTATGGTTACTAATGAGCACATTGCTATTATATATATATCATATATATATATTTTTTCTTTTTAAAATTTTCTGAGAATATGTGCAATAGTTGATTACTTTGCAGAAGTGGTGGCAAATATAATTTGCATGGTAGTATGCATGGAAACAATTGAATTTGAATAATTTGAACTTTTGTTAAAAGTTCATAATAAAAGGTATATATTTAAGTGGTTAAGTGTTTCATAATAAAAGGTATATATTTATGAATTTTTCTGTGAGATGCTACTGCTGTGTTGAGAACCCTTAGAAGTAAGTAAGGTAAAACTCATATAAAATATACCTTGTTTTGGAACTACTTAGCTATTTTAACATTTTTAAAATGGAGAGTAGCAGATAAAATCTGGTTGGCTACTTTTAATGATTTTTTTTCCCCACAAAGCTTCAGTTATGTTTGTATTCTGTCTTTTTCTTCCAATATAAGCTGGAGAGCTGATCTGTCTTTGATTTATTTCATGTTATCTACATTACCTATTTAATGCTTAGCACACTGTCCTAAGATGGGTTATAGACTGTTTAACTTTATTTAAATTTCTAGGAGCCATTTAAAATTGTATTTATTGATTGTCATATGCCTTTGAGTAGTACATTATTATAGTTAGAGTAAATTGAATATCGGGCAATGCTCTTGCTGTCCATTACCTTTTGAAATATTTACTGAGTTGCATGCATCCACATGAATCAGTACCTAGTCTTTCATCACTATCATTTGCTTTGTATGAAATAGCAAATGTACCTTTTAATAATTCTTCTCATCTCTTGGCTACTTTTTCATATAGCCAGCTCCTGACTGTCCATGCTTATTTGAGTGGAGCCAGTGTCACTGTTAGTTCCGAGTGGCAGATAATACAAAAATTACTTCTCCTTGCCTTGGCTTTGTATTTATATTTGAATAATCAGCTTGAAATCCTTTCTGGAAGTAGGTGGGGTATAAATATTTATATTTGAACCTGCATGTCATTGTTTTTGAAGGTCACGCTGCTTCAAATTTAAAAAGTGATTAAGATACACCATAAATCTTCCTGTCTTGTCAAATTGCCCTCCATTACTTCTTAGAGTGGATTGTGTCATTTCTGTGACTGAAGAAAATCTTCTGTTTAAAGCAGAAGTCACCTCTCTCTAAATATGTTGGTACATTCACCTCATAGAAGGGAGGTCATCACCTTACCTGATGTAGGGAGGTAACTTTAAAAGCTTTTCCTTCTCTTCTACCTCCCCTCCTCTAAGAGAATACAAAGATGTTTATATCCTCAGAGTTCTTAAGAATTAGTAACTGTAATTATAATTTGAAAATAATATTTGCCTTAAAATTGGATGTGTTAATTAAAAATAAACTATTTGTAAATAGTCTTGCTATAGAATGGAAGGAATTTTAGTCAGTTCTAATTGTTGCAAAAATTGTAAAGTCTTATTTTGCAGGGGGAAAAATTAGTTAACTTTGAGTACATCATAAATTCTTAAGTGATCGTTATCTGTTTTCCAGTGTCTCTGGAAAAAATAGTGAATGCATTTTTAAATTGTACTTTTTCTTAATGTCATGCAACCATATTTTTCTCTTCTAGAAACCAGGTGATGAGGAAAAAACTCATTTTATTTTTTAAAAGAAGAAATCATGCAAGAAAACAAAGGGTGAGGTCCTATCCTTGTTAACTGAAATTTGTACAGCTTCCTCATTCGTATTCATTAGGCATTCACTTTTCCATTATTAATGAAAATTGTCCTTGATTCTACTTAAGGATAGTGCTGATTTCAAGTAACTATACATGTGACTTAAATATAACTCTAATTTTAGTAACATTTGATAATACTTCTAATATTATTATCAAATTAATTTTATTGGTCATTTATGTATAACATTTTCATCTAGCCAAAAGAAAATGGTGAGTAGTTTAAACATTTGAAAGAAAAATAGGATGATCTACATTTAGTCTCTTAAGCCTCAAACAAATATGGGTAAGTTATTTTCACCCTGATTAGACATTACTGTTTAAAACTGAGTCAGCTAGGATTCAACTTTTTAAAATTTAAATAGTTTTTCATATTTTATTATATGACTTGTAGTCTAAAAGTTTTGTGGTTATAATCTTCATGGAAATTAAGTTACAGAAAATAGAATGCCATTATTTTTATAATAATCATACTAATTTATAGATAAACGATTGATGTATTTAAATTCAAGTGTCTGTTAATAAATGATGCTCTTTAAATCCACATTCAAAATGAACTTTGTACCTTATGTTAAATGACCTTACAATTTCATGAGTTGTAAATCCCAAGAGTCAGCAGTTTTGATTTAGTGTGAAACTTTGGTTGTTTTCATTTGTCAGTCTGATCCTTCAGGCACTGTCTGACATTATTGGTCTGGAAGTGTTTTTTTGCCAAGAACATACAAGTGTTAAGAAAGAAATGAGCTCATGTGCTTTTTTTTCTGTCCAAGTAATTTTTTTGTAGTTGTGGTACTTGCTAGATAAGCCAACTGCTGATGTAGACACAAGAGCAAAGATTTTTTCACACTTGAGAGAGTCATAATTTTTTTTTAATTTCTGTATACTCTGTATTATTTTATAAAGGAGACCAAGATGAGTGATGTGATTGTAGCCCTTAGAGAGCCTAAGGTAACTGGAGGACACACAAGTTGGCAGGCATTGTGATCATACCATGGTCCATGGACATAGAGGCAACTCGGGGGAACACCTAATACAGATTGGAATCATGAAAGGAAGTTCATGGTAAAACCACCACTCTGTGCAGGCTTGGAGGGCAGCTGGAGTGAAGGTCCGAGAGCAAGAGGGAATGTAACAGGTTCAGAGCTGACTGGAGTAGGTACTGGGCTGGCAGTGTAGTAGGAAACCGGACTGCTGAGGGAAACCAGAGTCAGGTTGCATACCACCCTGGAGGTCACCTGGGAGACATGGGATCAGATTCTGAGGACTCCTTTTAAGTTTTGTTTTGTTTTTTTATTGTCCCTCTTCCCACTCCTTCATTCCCCTAACCCCTGGCGTGCTTTTTTTTTTTTTTTATTTAATTCCTTGTAGTCCCAGTTATTGGGGAGGCTAAGGCAAGAGAATTGCTTGAGCCCAAGAATTGGAGGTTGCTGTGAGCTATGATGCCATGGCACTCTACTGAGGGCAACAAAGAAACTGTCTCAAGAAAAAGAAAATGGGATCATAATTTATTTCTCCAAGAGCATTAATTCTTGGTTTCATGTAGTTCACTGAATTTCTTTTTATCATGAAATACAATTTATTTCTGCCTTTTCTACACTGTCAAACTGTTTATTATATAGGATTATTTATAGTAACAAAAGCTGCAAGCAGCCAAAACCTTCAACAGTAAAAGAACAGTTAAAAGTGTGTACGCTGACAGATTGGAAAGATAACAACATGTTAATATACTAGCCTGGGCAAGAATGAGACCCCATCTAAAAAAATAGCCAGCATTGTGGTAGGCACTTGTAATCTCAAGTACTTGGGAGGCTGAGGCAAGAAGATCACTTGAGCCCAAGAATTTGAGCTGTGAGCTGTGACACCACAGTACTATACCAAAGTGACAACATGAGATTCTGTCTCCAAAAAAAAAAAATCTGAATGTTCATATGGCTGCCTTTGGGTTGTATTTCAGTGATTGGTCAGATTTTGAACTATTTACATGTTTCTATTTTTAATTTTCCTTTTTTTAAAACAATAATGACATTGTTATCAGGAAAGTAAAAGTAGCTGGTCAGCTATTAATAGTAGGTCCTCAATTAGTTTATTGACTTGTATAGTCTTAATGTTAACTAAAAAAAGTCCAAACAAAATAGGCACTATACAGGGTGGCCATCAAGTATTGTGTGCAATGATCTTAGGTAAAAAACAGAGCTCCCTTTCTTTCCTTTCAGATCAGTGACAGCTTTTCTGAGTCACAGGCCACTTGTACTTTTCTCACTTATCCTTAAGAAGTAGCATTTATTTTAAAAAGTATTAGGTTTGTCAGAATCAGATTATTAATTTGCTACGGGTATTTAATAGGAACAAAAAATCTGCCAACGTTATGATCAGCTCATGGAGGCATGGGAGAAAAAAGTGGACAGAATAGAAAATAATCCTCGGAGGAAAGCTAAAGAAAGCAAAACAAGGGAGTACTATGAAAAGCAGTTCCCAGAAATTCGAAAACAAAGAGAACAGCAAGAAAGATTTCAACGGTAAGTAGTTTGATGTTTAATAATTGTAATGTTTTCCTTCAAATCACTCTTTTGCTATTTCATATTTATTCTTTCTTGAAACTGATCATTAAGAAAGTTGATAAAGAATTTTTTTTTTTTTTTGGAGAGACAGCGCCTCACTTCATCACCCTTCATCACCCTTGGTAGAGTGCCATGGTGTCACAGCTCACAGCAACCTCCAACTCCTGGGCTTAGGCAATTCTCTTGCCTAAGACAACCTGCCACCCTCAGTATATGGGGCTGGCACCCTACCCAATGAGCCATGGGCACCCCCCATTATAAAGAATTTTAATGTTGAATATAAAACTTTCTTAGCAGTAAAGATTATGTTGTAGTGAATTTGATATTCATTTTTTGTATTTAACCATCAGAATCTAAATATAAATGAGTGTTTTAAAATTAATTCTTCAGGCTCGGCGCCTGTACGTAGCTCAAGCGGCTAAGGCACCAGCCACGTATACCAGAACTGGCGGGTTTGAATCCAACCTGGGCCTGCCAGACAACAAGGACAACTACAACCAAAACATAGCCAGGCACTGTGGCAGGTGCCTGTAGTCCTAGCTACTTGGGAGGCTGAGGCAAGAGAAATTGCTTAAGCCCAGGCAGGAGTTACAGGTTGCTATGAGCTGTGATGCCATAGCACTCTACCCAGGGTGACAGCTTGAGGCTTTGTCTCAAAAAAAAAAAAAATTAATTTTTTAGTTCATAAAAATATTAATTTCTTTGGACATAACAGTTAATAGGAACAGACTTTAATATCCCTTTGTCTTCATTACCAACATAATCAAACTATATTAAATTGATTCCTAATTAAGAAACTGATTTTGATGGTTTCCTATTTGTTTTTATTTTAGCAAACAGATATTTTGCAAAGGTTTTAAAAGCTATACTTTTCTTCTTCACTGTCTCATATATGATTCACGTAAGCCCCTTTACTTAGAATTAAGTTTTTGTGAAGGGTGTTGGCTGTATTTTTTTCCCTCCTATTAAAAATGTTAGATGTATTTTTATAAGTCTGTTATCCCGTGCTGTAAAAGGCAGTCAAACGACTGTTAGTTGATGTGGAAATGGCATCAATAATTGGTTTTCCAGAAGATTATCATAACTAGGTCTGCTGTTTGAATTGGGCATACAACCTTCAAATCTCAATCTTAGCCTTTAAATAATTATTAATTTAATAAGTGACTCAAGCATATTACTTAAAAATACTCAGTGTTATTTTAGGTTTATTTTCCTACTTTCAGTTGGTTAAAAAGTCCCATTTAGAAAAAGTAATCTATAGTTAATTGATATGTCTTCTTCATAAAAGGCTGTTAAATATATTTATAATTACTCCCTCATATTTAGAGTTGGACAAAGGGGAGCTGGTCTGTCAGCCACAATTGCCAGGAGTGAGCATGAAATTTCTGAAATTATTGATGGGCTCTCTGAACAAGAGGTAAGAAAATTAATTTAATTCATTAATTATTGAAGCATTTTAGCCCTGCACCTAAAACCCCACGGGGTTTGTTTATGTGTAAATCAGGAAACTTTTTGGTGCTGGAGTTTAGACTGTTCCAAAGGCTTGAAATTAACCATTGAAGGGTGTTAAACAAGGCAGTCACACAATTAGATTGGCATTTTACAAAGATGACTAGCAGCAGGGAGACCTGGAGAGAGGTTCAGAGGCTGTTAGGATAAAAATAAGGATCTGAGTCAGGGTAACACTGGTAGGGATGTAAGGAGGGGATTGATGGGAGGGTGTAATAGAAAGTAAAAGGTTGAGTTTGGAGGATGAAAAAGAAGAGAAATTGAAAGTAGTCCCTGGTTCCTAAGTTAGTGGACAGAGCTGTGGTGCCTTTTCCTAAAGTAGCAAAGGAGAACGTGTTTTGCAGATGGTAGTGTGGAGCACCATTCTCCACATGGTGCTCTTTATCCAGGTGAGCCTGGGAAAGAGTCGAACTGGAGATAGCTATATATCAGAGGCATCTGTGTGAAGGTGAAATAGTCCCAGGCGAGTGTAGTAATACAAACTGAAAGAGGCGAGTGAGTGTATGGAGATTAAAACCATGTACTGTAGAGACTCAAGCTGGGCCATATGCTCATGCCAGTAATCCCAGAATTTTGGGAGGCCCAGGTGGGAGGATTGCTTGACCTAGGAGTTTGAGGCCCCCCTGAGCAACATGGTGAAACCTTGTCTCTCCAAGGTTTTTTAAAAATTTTTAAAAATGTGCAGGGCATTGTGGCAAGCACCTGAGTCACAGTTACTCCAGAGGCTAAGTCAGGATGATCACTTGAGCCCAAGAGTTCAGAGTTGCAGTGAGCTATGCTGGTGCTGCTGCATTCCAGTCTGGGTGCTAGAAGCTCCATCTCAAGCAAAACAGAGCAAAAATAAGCAATAATAGCAACAACAACAAAAAGATTTAATACACGAGCAAGAATGCTGTTTTGCCTATTGATTTTAAATTGGAATGAATTTTTAAAATTTTTTTTAAATTTCAGAATATTACAAACATTTTAGTTACAAAGATTGCTCTTGTGCAGTTTAAGTCAAAGTTATAAATGTGCCTATTACCCAGTAATGCGCATTGCACCTGTTAGGTGTGAATTTACCCATCCCCACCACTGGCTTGATTTCCTGAGTATTATTTCCATATGTGCATGTAAGTGTTGATTGATTAGTTCCAATTTAATAGATAGTCCATGTGGTGTTTATTTTTCCATTCTTGTGATACTTACAAGAATGGTCTCCAGTTCCATTCAAGTTAATCCAAGAGGTATTAGTTTACCCTCTTTTTTTTTAGATAGTCTCACTCTGTCGCCTTGGATAGAGTGCTTTGTGACATCATAGCTCACAGCAACCTCAAATTCCTGGGTTCAAGTGATCCTCTTGCCTCAGCTTTCAGAATAGCTGGAACTGTAGGCACCTACCACAATTGCTGGCTAATTTTTCTATTTTTAGTAGAGACAGGTCTTGCTCTTGCTCAGGCTAGTCTTGAACTCCTGAGCTCAAGTAGTTCACCTGCCTCAGCCTCCCAGACTAGTAGGATTACAGGTGTGAGCCATAGTACCTGGCCAGTTCACTGTTATTTTTAGTGGCTGAGTTTCCATGGTATACATATACCACATTTTTTTAATCCACTGGTATATTGATGGGCACTTGGGTTGTTTCTTTTTCTTTGCAATTGTGAATTGTGCTGCTATAAGCATTTGAGTGCAGGTGTATTTTTTATAAAGTGTCTTTTTTCCTTTGATAAATACCTAGTTGTGGGATTGCTGGACCCAATGTAAGTCTACTTTTAGTTCTTTGAGGTATTTCTGTACTACTTTCCATAGAGGTTGCATTAATTTGCAGTTCTATTCCTGTCTCTCCTCATCTGTGCCAGCATTTGTTGTTTGGGGACTTTTTGATAAAAGTTATTCTCAATCTCACTGCAGTTTTGATTTGCGTTTCCTTGATGTGTATAGACTGTAAGCATTTTTCATATTGTTTTTTGGCCATCTATCTTCTTTTGAAAGGTGTTCTGTTCATGTCTTTTGCCCACTTTTTAATGGGGTTGTTTGATTTGCTTTTTTGTTGATTTGCTTGGGTTCTTGTAGATTCTGGTTATCGGCCTTTCGTTGGAAGAATGGTATACAGATGTTTTCTGCCATTCAGTAGTTTGTTCACTCTATTGATTGTTTCCTTGGCTGTGGACAAACTTTAATCAGGTCCCATTTATTTATTTTTATTGTTGCTGTGATTGCTTTTGGGGTCTTCCTCATAAGTTCTTTGCCTAGGCCAATGTTTTTAAGAGTTTTTCTAACATTTTCTTCTAGGATTCTTATAATCGCATGCCTTATGTTTAGATCTGTTGTCCATCATGAATTAATTTTTGTGAGTGATGAGAGGTGTGGGTCCTGTTTCAGTCTTCTACATGTGGCTGTCCATTTTTCCTGGCACCATTTATTGAATAGGGATTCTTTTCTTCAATGTAAGTTTTGACTGCTTTGTTGATGATTAGATAGCAGTATTCAGATGGTTTTATATCTGGGTTCTAGGTTCTGTTACATTGGTCCATGTGTCTTTCTTGTGCCAGTACCATGCTGTTTTGGTTACTGTAGCTTTGTAGCATAGCTTGAATCAGGAAAATTGATGCCTCCCAGTTTGTTTTTTTTGCTTAGGGTTCTTTTGGCATCTTTTTGGGTTCCACATGACACATAGAATCATTTTTTTTTTGGTCAGTGAAAAATGGTGGTATTTTAGTTGGGGTTGCATTGAACCTGAAAATCACTTTGGGTAGTATAAACATTTTAACAATCTTGATTCTACCATATTATGAGCGTGATGTGTTTTTCTGTTTGTTTACATCCTCTGTGATTTCCTTCCTCAGTGTTTTGTAGTTCTCTCTGTAGAGGTCTTTTACCTCCTTTGGTTAAATTTATTCTTAGATACTTTATTTTCTTTGTTGCTGTTATGAAAAGTATTGAGTCAGTGGCATATAGGAATGCTATTGATTGGTGGGCATTGATTTTGTAATCTGAGACTTTCTTAAATTTATCAATTCTAGGAGTCTCTTGGCAGAATCTTTGGGGTTTCCTAAATATAAAATACCATCAAAGAGCAGTAGTTTGACCTCTTATTTCCCCATTTAGATATCCTTGATTTCCTTCTCTTACCTCATTGCTCTGGCTGGTGAGAGTGGGCAACTCTGTCTGGTTCCAGTTCTAAGTAGGAATGATCTCAATTTTTCTCCCTTCAACACGATGTTGGCTATGGGTTTGTTATATATGGCTTTTATAATTTTGGGTATGTTTCATCTATGCCTATTTTTTTAAGCGTTCCTATAAAAGGGTGCTGCATTTTGTCAAATGCCTTTTTCTCAGTCTATAGAAATGATGATATGGTCTTTGCTTTTTCTTTTGGTTATGTGATGAATCACATTTGTAAATTTGTATATGTTGAATCATCATTGTATCTCTGGGATTAAGCCCACCTGGTTGCAGTGGATTTTTTTTTTTTTTTAGTTTGAAAACGTTTATTTTGGCTCCAAACTTGTTTTGGTAATGCAAAATAGAATTTTAGGATAGTTGTCAGATTTGGGAAATCACCATCAATCTTTTCTCATGTACAAGGTTCAAGATTTCAACACATTTCAAGATCTCTCGTGCAGTAATAAACCATAAATACTCTGCATTTTTGACTCATTAAGTTTGCTGTAGTAGAGTTCCTGGAAGCCACTCCTGCCCAGAGAGGACTGGCAAAAACTTACCTAGTGACAAAAGCATGCTACGTAAATATATTCCACTTAATTCAAACTGAATGTATCTTAGCCAGGCATGGTGGCTCACACCTGCAATCCCAGCACTCTGGGAGGCCGAGGTGGGTGGACTGCCCAAACTCAGGAGTTTGGAGACCAGCCTGAGCAAGAGTGAGACGCCCCATCTCTACTAAAATAGAAAAACTTAGCTGGGTGTCATGGTGGATGCCTGAAGTCCAAGCTACCCAGGAGGCTGAGGGAAGAGGATCTCTGGAGCCCAAGAGTCTGGGGTTTTGGCAAGCCATAATGATGCCATGACACTCTACTCACCATGACAGAGCGAGATACTGTCTCAAAAGAAAAAAAAGGAACTTATTTTAAATTCAGCTTTCCCTCAGCCAGATACCCTAGTGCTGCCGGACATGAGGGAAGTGCTAAGAGGGGTCCTGTTGCAGAACCTTCTCTGGGCTGTCTTTGGCGAGGAGGGTGCCTGTGGAATCATGGTCTATATCCCTGATACTTGTTCTGTCTTACTGGTCTACTCTGTTCTCCTGCACCATGATTGTTCACACCCTCTGTCAGTTCTCCCTGCATAGGAGGGTTGGAATACTGTAGTGGTTACTGTAGGGTCTAAAATTTTATTAAGCACTAGCCTCATAAGAAATAAATTCTTCTCAAAGTAGTGGATTTTAAAAAATGACATGTATACTTTTTGTTTCTGTAATTTATTCAGTGAACAATTACAGATACATTAGTAATGACTATATGTTGGATGCTGTGATCAACACTGCTATTGTCCTTAAACTATATATGTGGTGCCCTCTTTAATATTCTAGTTTAAATTTTATTCTAAGTAAATTGCTTTTGTTTGTTTATTTGCAGAATAATGAGAAACAAATGCGGCAGCTCTCTGTAATTCCACCTATGATGTTTGATGCAGAACAAAGACGGGTCAAGTTCATTAATATGAATGGGCTTATGGAGGACCCTATGAAAGTTTATAAAGATAGACAGTTTATGAATGTTTGGACTGACCATGAGAAGGAGATCTTTAAGGACAAGTAATTTAAATTTTAAATTACTCTCTAATAGAAGTGTACTTAAGTCAGTAAAAAGTGTTTACATTTACTTGTAAATTGAAGTGTTTCAACAAAAACTTGGCCTCATTTTGCCATTTGAATATATACTGTGGAGATAGAAGATTATTGATCTTCCCATAAGTTTATAGGTGGGAAATAGTTAAGAACTGGGATTATGGGAATCATGTTAAGAATGATTCCCAAATTTAGGTGTTATCTGAATCACTTTGGGGAGCTTTTGTAAAATATAAATTTCTTTGTTTTATTATAAGCCAATCCCATCAGTTTCTGGTGGGTGGTGGCCAGGAATCTGTGTCCTTTAAAAAGTCCTCAATGATTCTGTATTTGTTCTTCAGATTGGCAGTTAAGAATCACTGGGAGTTAGTTTGTACGTAATATTTCTTTTCCCAAGTGGTTTTTTTTTTTTTTCCCTTTTTAAATTGTTAAAATATTTGTGTGTGCGTGTGTTTTTGTTTCTTATTTTTTTACTCAGGTTTATCCAGCATCCAAAAAACTTTGGACTAATTGCATCCTACTTGGAAAGGAAGGTAAGAGATGGTTTGCACTATGAATGTTTATAGGTTTGTGACTGTTTTTACGTTGAAATTTTTGTGTTCTAACATGGAGAAATAGCTCAGTAGAACTGATTTTGCGAAGGGCTTAAAACAGAAAAGATTCTCATGTGATTAACATGATGATAATTAAAATTAAATTATAACAGAAATCCTAATATAGAACACAGAAATAACATTTGTGGTTAATGAAAAATGACCTCTCTGATCTTATATTGCCCGAGAAACACGTAGATTACAGTGCTTTCTGACCTCATTAAATCTCTAAAAAATGTCAGTGTTGATTTCCCCTGGATTTTTTTCACAATTGGCTTTAATGTTTTTGAGGAAAATATTAGAGAGACATTTTGAATATTTACACATATGAAGTAAGAAAGAGAATTTACTTACTGGTTAGTAAGAAACTACTTAAATGTTCCTGGTATCTTTAATGCAGTTTGGATTAAGACAACTATAACTGTTCTTTAAAATAGTAGATATAATGTAAATATTTTTTCGAGCCTTGATATCTCTTAAAATGTCAGCCATGTAGGTTTCACTTTAATTTGTACTTAAAGAATCTCAGAATATTTCTTTGAAAGTATTATTTGATTTTTAAAAATTCTTATTTCATTGGATCCTCAAAAAGAATTTTTTTCCTTACAGAGTGTTCCTGATTGTGTTTTATATTACTATTTAACAAAGAAAAATGAGAATTATAAAGCTCTAGTAAGAAGGAATTATGGAAAACGCAGAGGCAGAAATCAGGTATGTTTTATTACTTTGTAAAAGATGTGTCAAGGTTGGTGGGAATAAGAAGACAAGAAATATTATAATAGGAGTTCCTATACTTAATGTATAGTTGATAGATTGATGTTTCTGCTAATTGTTATCATTATTTTGATGTTAATATATATTTACTATATAGTTTTCTATTTGGGATTTAGTTCAGGATTCCTGTGTGATAAAATTAATTAGAAAAGTTTTATACTGTTCTATCATCTGAATAACACATTTCAAGGTCAGCAGTAATCATGTCATTAAATATGAGGCCCCTTTTAAGAGGGGTAGTTAACCTACCTATCAATGTACACTAGAAGAAGGAATTATGTACTATTCTACTCAGTACTTTCAAATGGTTTCCCCCAGATAATTGATCAGCCATCACAGCTCTTGTGTGCATTAACAGTGAGGCTGTTACACTAATGCCTTTGCCCTTTGCTCTCCACACATAGGTAGCTATTGCAATATGGACTTGCATACATGTGCTCTGAGCTATAACTGTTTATTAAAATTCCTAAATCTCTTCTAGTTTCCCCACACAGCCACCCTTTCACTGTGGCAGGGTCTTGGTCCATTTCTTTGCTTGCTAGGCCCCGGTCACCAAATACGGGTTATTTGACACAGTTATCTCATTTTTTTTTTTTTTTTTTAAGAGAGAGAGAGTCTTACTTTGTTGCCCTTGGTAGAGTGCTGTAACATCACAGCTCACAGCAACCTCCACCTCTTAGGCTTAGGCGAGTCTCTTGCCTCAGCCTCCTGAGGAGCTGGGACCACAGGCGCTGTGGTCATTCTTGATCACCTTTTTATATTTTCTGGGTCATTGTTTCCTGTAAAACAGTTCTACCTCACAAGTGTGATTACATGTTCTTAGGAAACAGTATTTCCCAGTGACTTGGACCTATACTATAATAGGAAGGTAGGTAGAACTGATCAGTTTCTGAGAATATTTTTGAAGATAAAATCAACAGCATCACTCAGTTTCTGGATATGTATTTTTGAAGGTAAAACCAACAGGTTTTGCTGATGGATTGATGGTGGGAAGGAGAGAAAGAATAATCAGGGTTATCAGTTATGTATGGCCCATGGAGTTGTCGTTTGGTGTGATAGGCATTACTGAAGGGGCACCAGAGTTTCACTGATTTATGCCTGCTTCTTCTCAGATGAAAGGAGCAGGTTTTGAGGAGAAATATGGGCATGGCTGAGCTTCATCAGGTACATGTACCTATTAGAGTTCAAGTAGTGAGATGTCAAAAAAAAGTGAATGGTTAGATAAATGAATCTGGAGTGTAGACAGAAGACCTGAATTAGAAACATAGTATTTGCTGCATAGAAAAAAGTTCAGGACTCGGTGCCTGTGATTCAAGTGGCTAAGGCGCCAGCCACATACACCTAAGGTGGCGGGTTTGAATCCAGCCCGGGCCCTCCAAAACAACAAT